TCTAGAAACATGCTAACTGCTAAATCTAGAAAAATGCTAACTGCTAAATCTAGAAACATGCTAACTGCTAAATCTAGAAACATGTTAACTGCTAAATCTAGAAACATGTCAACTGCTAAATCTAGAAACACGCTAACTGCTAAATCTAGAAACATGCTAACTGCTAAATCTAGAAACATGCTAACTGCTAAATCTAGAAACATTCTAACTGCTAAATCTAGAAAAATGCTAACTGCTAAATCTAGAAACATGCTAACTGCTAAATCTAGAAACATGTTAACTGCTAAATCTAGAAACATGTCAACTGCTAAATCTAGAAACATGCTAACTGCTAAAACTAGAAACATGCTAACTGCTAAATCTAGAAACATGCTAACTGCTAAATCTAGAAACATGCTAACTGCTAAATCTAGAAACATGCTAACTGCTAAATCTAGAAACATGCTAACTGCTAAATCTAGAAACATGCTAACTGCTAAATCTAGAAAAATGCTAACTGCTAAATCTAGAAACATGCTAACTGCTAAATCTAGAAACATGTTAACTGCTAAATCTAGAAACACGCTAACTGCTAAATCTAGAAACATGCTAACTGCTAAAACTAGAAACATGCTAACTGCTAAATCTAGAAACATGGTCTAGAAACATGGCAGGGATCAGTGAGCAGAGCTGATGCATTAAAGCTCATTTCTCATATTTCCTCAGTAAACCCTGAAGCTGCTTGTCTTTCCATCAGGGTTTCTGCAGAGACTCGGATCAGCAGCTGATGCCCTTCGGCCTGTTTATGTTTCACAGTTTCTCTATCAAATGATGAAAGTGTACACATATCTAATTATGGATGACGAATAGCTGAACAAAATTAAATAAAGCTGAAAGTACGAGTGGATTTGATTCATTAGTTTTGAAATACAACAAGTGAAGTTAATTCTGAGTGAAAGTAAAAAATGACCAATAAAATCAGAAACAGCTTTTCTAAACGTCTTGAAGCTCAGGCATCTGTTTCAGCGATCTGCTCAAAAAATAAACACAAAAATAATTTCTATAAATCTCAGGAACAACAACTATTATTTGAATTATTCTGGGACAAAAATAAAGATAAGACTGCAGAGTCTATAATCTAAAATAAACGAACAAAAAATCTGCTTAACTAATGCAGTTTGTGATATGAATATCTCTTTGATATGAATATCTCTTTGATATGAATATCTCTTTGATTGATCTGATCTCTAGATCTAGAGATCAGATCAATCGTGATGAATCAATTATTGAAATAATTGTCAACTAATTTAGGAATTAGAACTAGCCTAGCGCTGGCAGCAGAAATGGCTCCTGGTCTTCAGCCAAAGACTAAAGAGAAATCACTAAACTCTGACGCCTCCATCTTGTTTCATCTGGTGAAGCAGGAAGTTGCTCTCAGTGTCTTCAGAGTTTTTTGGTGCAGCGCCCCCTTTGGCCAGGAGGGGAATAGGTTGGTTGGAGCTTTTGGTTTCTACTGGAAGTTCTGGTTCCAGTAGAACCGGCTGATCGGACCCAGGTCATAGGGAAAACACCTTCAATATGAGAACTGGGTCTTGTTGAGATTCAGATTGTTGTTTGTGTCCTTTAGACGAGCCGTTCCCTGCTATGTGGATTTGCAGTGAAACAGCTTGAGTGAAACAGCGCCCCCTGGAGTGACCGCGGTAAAGACTCCAGTGAATCTCAGAAAAAGAGAAGCAGTCATGTAAAGCCTGGACTAATCCATGACACCCATTAGCTTTCCTTCACTGACAGACTGAGGCTCCCTGCAACACCGTCAACAGGAACATCGCCCCCTGCAGAACAAATGGATCACTGCGACGCATTTTCTCCTGGTCATCGTCCAAAAGAGGCTGCAGAAAAACTGAGAGGCTGAGAGATACAAAGCAAACCTGAGAGGCAAAGATGATGGAGTGAGTGAGAGTCCAGAGTGTTTGAGTGACAGGAGTGATAAGGTCCATCATGCCGCTGTTATGAGCAGCTGCGGAAACGGCATATAAGCCCGTCAGACATGCTGCCGAATTAACTGAGCCGGGAGCCACGCTGCAGACCAGACCCAAGTGGATATCAGGATATTGATGGATAAGGAGGAATGAAATAAGAGAAGGTGAGACGCCTAAAGGGGAAACGCGATGGAGGTCGAACATCTGGGTTCTGACTCTGAATCAGAACAAAATCCAAGCAACAGCTTTTCTGATTCAAGAAAACCTGCAGGAAAAACGCAAAGTTCAACAGGAATTAGCGGCGATTACAGATTTGTGAAAGCAAGGCATAAAACACTCTGTGTTACAACAGCTGATCTGTTTTCCCAGCAATAAGGAGACAAGAATGCAACCAAACCTGGAAACAAAATAACTGAAACTACAGTGTGGACGGGCAGAAAAATGTTATTATTTAATCCTATTTCTTTAAATACTGTTTTTAACACTTTAAGAGAGTTAAAACTCAATACATCTGCTGATGCTCCTGAATTTCCCTTGGAAAAAGCCAGTTCCCTGGGTGAATTTCACACACAAACATTTTTTGTCTAAATACAAACTGATGTAACTTGATACAGTATGGAAACTTATAATTTTAATACATTTTCTCTGTAGATGGTTGAACAGAAAAATGGTTTGTGAATCAAATCACTGGCCACTGAATGGTCCTTTGTTTAAAAGGCTTCCTGTCTCTTCAGAGCGATGAGATGCTGCTGCAGCGGCTGCAGCAGCAGCAGCCGACTCACTGGAGTCGGCTGCTGCATCACTGCATCACCTCCGGCCCCTCCAGCATGCTGCCGGTCATCAGAAGAGCCACGGCGGCTGGAGGTGATCAGGGACGGAGCGGGAGCTTGACGCTTCGACCTCTTGTTTTATAAAAGCTCCATTCCTCCATGCTACTAAACGGATCTGCTCCCAGTGAGAAATGAGAGCATTAACACGGACACGCTGCACTCTGCAAGGCCCTGCCGAGCCCTCTGAGCTGGAACACTTTACATCTGAGCCGCGCTCCTTACAAGCTCCCCTGACACCTCCATGCATCATAGGAGGGCTGCAGGGGGCGGCCAGCCAAACTGCCATGTGTCTTACAACGTGACAACAGCTGTGGGCATTTCCATTAAAAAACACACAGCTCAAGTGTTACAGCTGCACCTCTGGGTGCAGGCGAACTCTGGCCACCAGGCCTCATTCCTTCCTCACCTCCGGCACCAAAACCAAGGGACTAAGAGGACCAGAAGAAAACAGCAACATGGGCAACTTTGGACAGATTTCACATGAGGCAGCACAAACTGGCAACAGCTGCCACTTTATACGAGTTATAATCCCAGACAGGCCTCTGGGGGAATCAGTTAGCTTGTTAGCATTGCACCACTTCCTTTAGCTTCTGCTGACTGAACAAACCAGAACAACAAACACCGTTAGTCCAATTCCTGCTCAAACACGCCTCCATTCTGCTCATGTTCTGATCCGATCTCCAAACCTCCAGCACAGACCGCAATGACCAAGAGCAGCGCTTAAACGTGAAGGTGTCCTTTCACTTCTCCAAGACTTTACGCATCAAACAAGGCATTTCAACAGAGTTCCCTGAGCGTTCCCACAATGTTCCCTCAGTGTTCCCACAGAGTGCCCTCAGCATTCCCACAATGTTCCCTCAGCATTTCAACAGTGTTCCCACAATGTTCCTTTAGCGTTCCCACAATGTTCCCTCAGCATTCCCACAGAGTTCCCTCAGCCTTCCCACAATGTTCCCTCAGCATTTCAACAGTGTTCCCACAATGTTCCCTCAGCGTTCTCTAGTCATTTTTACCGAGCCGCGTTTCGACTAATGCTGGCGTCTCTTGTTTCTATGGCACTTCTTTTCTGTCGCAGGATTTTTGACAGAGTGATACCTCTGTATTTGAAAGCTTTGTTGTCAGGAAATCTTGTTTTCTGTTTCCTAACTCTTTTCAGGAATGAAAATAAAGTTCTGTTATTAATCTGAACCCATTTTAAAACAATTTTTTTTCCAGCAGCTTGAATCTGAAGACAGGAAATAATTGGAGACCAACTGCAAGTGATGCTCCAACATGGCTCATTCAGATTAAGATTAGGAGCAAAAAAATCTGCTCTGATTTATCTGTGATTCTTAAATAATCTGCTATAATGGTGTATTTTCAGACAGAAATAAAAAATACATGCACACATGAGCTTGTGGTTAGCCAATCAGAAGCTTCCAAAGCCATTTTATTCACAGTTGGAAACTGTATGTAAACTTCTGGTCTGAGCCGCATGGAGCTGCAGGTTTCGATGGAACGAAGCTTCATCCTGTTCCTGCTCCCACGGTTTCATGTTCAGGGGTTTGCTAACATGCTATGCTAACGCGCTAAGCTAGCGCGTTAGCATAGTTTAAATATACAACCGTTTGTCATGATCAAACTTTCATAAACATTTCATGAATCATCAACAAGTCACATCTATATTGTGATGTGACTTGTTGATAGGCAGACATTAATTTTTGTTCCTCAGTCAGTGCAGCACAGTGATGACAGAAATCTCTCTTTCATTGCGAATCTTTTTACAAAGCTTAAAGAAGCTTTATGATCCAGAAAAATCCAGATCTGTCAGAACTAGATCCTGTCTACAGTCAGAGGGAGAATTCAGTGAAGTTCTGGAGTTCACTTGTTTGGTCCAGACCAACAGATTTTATTTAATTTTTTCTGCAAATCAACCATAATTTGTAAACAAACCTCACATCTTTGCCACCATTGGACAGAACGCTGGGGGCGGGACAAAGCACAGATCACGAAGCAAACAAACTGAATAAACTCCAGTCTGAATGTGCAGAGCAGCTCAACCAGCTTTCATGATGTGACATTTCTAAAGGTTGCAGACTGTAGAATTGTCTATATTAGAAAAACACCAACTCAAATTTTGTGTTTGTGTTTCCACCAACAAACGCAGAGTTTGTTGACCTCGACTTTCCCTCCCTGGGACGGGAGTGAGAGACGGAGCAGCTCAGCGTCTTACCAGAGGATGGGTGAACTCTGGGGCGTGGTCGTTCTTGTCCGTGATGGTGATGGTGGCCGTCGCTGTTCCTGTGAGGCCCACCTCACTTCCTGCCATGTCCTTGGCCACGATCTCTAATTCATACGTCGTAGTTGGGAGAGTCTGCAGCGAAAACACAAAGAGCCAAAGTTTGACTAGGAGGGAAGAAAAATCCAGAAAGCAAAGAAAAAATAACTGCAAAGATGAAGCATCATCCATCATCCATCATCCATCATCCATCATCCATCCATCATCCATCCATCCATCCATCATCCATCATCCATCCATCATCCATCATCCATTATCCATCCATCATCCATCCATCATCCATCATCCATCCATCATCCATCATCCATCCATCATCCATCATCCATCCATCATCCATCCATCCATCCATCATCCATCATCCATCCATCATCCATCATCCATCCATCATCCATCATCCATCCATCCATCCATCCATCATCCATCATCCATCCATCATCCATCCATCCATCCATCATCCATCATCCATCCATCATCCATCATCCATCCATCATCCATCCATCCATCATCCATCATCCATCCATCATCCATCCATCATCCATCATCCATCCATCATCCATCATCCATCCATCATCCATCCATCATCCATCATCCATCCATCATCCATCATCCATCATCCATCCATCATCCATCCATCATCCATCCATCATCCATCCATCATCCATCCATCATCCATCCATCCATCATCCATCATCCATCATCCATCCATCATCCATCATCCATCCATCATCCATCCATCCATCCATCATCCATCATCCATCCATCATCCATCATCCATCATCCATCCATCATCCATCATCCATCCATCCATCCATCATCCATCATCCATCATCCATCATCCATCCATCATCCATCATCCATCATCCATCCATCATCCATCATCCATCCATCCATCATCCATCCATCATCCATCATCCATCCATCATCCATCCATCCATCCATCATCCATCATCCATCTCCATCATCCATCATCCATCCATCATCCATCATCCATCATCCATCATCCATCCATCATCCATCCATCCATCCATCATCCATCATCCATCATCCATCCATCCCATCATCCATCATCCATCCATCATCCATTATCCATCCATCATCCATCCATCATCCATCATCCATCCATCATCCATCATCCATCATCCATCCATCATCCATCATCCATCATCCATCCATCATCCATCCATCCATCCATCCATCATCCATCATCCATCCATCATCCATCCATCCATCCATCATCCATCCATCCATCCATCATCCATCATCCATCCATCATCCATCATCCATCATCCATCCATCATCCATCATCCATCCATCATCCATCATCCATCCATCATCCATCATCCATCCATCATCCATCATCCATCCATCATCCATCCATCATCCATCATCCATCCATCATCCATCATCCATCATCCATCATCCATCCATCATCCATCATCCATCATCCATCCATCATCCATCATCATCCATCCATCCCATCCATCATCCATCATCCATCCATCATCCATCCATCCATCCATCATCCATCCATCATCCATCCATCATCCATCCATCATCCATCCATCATCCATCCATCATCCATCCATCCATCATCCATCCATCATCCATCCATCATCCATCCATCCATCCATCCATCATCCATACATCATCCATCCATCATCCATCATCCATCCATCATCCATCCATCCATCCATCATCCATCCATCATCCATCCATCCATCCATCCATCCATCCATCATCCATCCATCATCCATCCATCCATCCATCATCCATCCATCATCCATCCATCATCCATCCATCATCCATCCATCATCCATCCATCATCCATCCATCATCCATCCATCATCCATCCATCCATCCATCCATCCATCATCCATACATCATCCATCCATCATCCATCATCCATCCATCATCCATCCATCATCCATCCATCCATCCATCCATACATCATCCATCCATCATCCATCATCCATCCATCCATCATCCATCCATCATCCATCCATCCATCATCCATCCATCCATCCATCCATCCATCATCCATACATCATCCATCCATCATCCATCATCCATCCATCCATCCATCCATCCATCCATCCATCATCCATCCATCATCCATCCATCATCCATCCATCATCCATCATCCATCATCCATCCATCATCCATCCATCATCCATCCATCATCCATCATCCATCCATCATCCATCCATCATCCATCCATCATCCATCCATCCATCCATCCATCATCCATACATCATCCATCCATCATCCATCATCCATCCATCATCCATCCATCCATCCATCATCCATCATCCATCCATCCATCCATCCATCCATCATCCATCCATCATCCATCCATCCATCCATCATCCATCCATCATCCATCCATCATCCATCCATCATCCATCCATCATCCATCCATCATCCATCCATCATCCATCATCCATCCATCATCCATCCATCATCCATCCATCATCCATCCATCCATCCATCCATCCATCATCCATACATCATCCATCCATCATCCATCATCCATCCATCATCCATCCATCCATCCATCATCCATCCATCATCCATCCATCCATCCATCCATACATCATCCATCCATCATCCATCATCCATCCATCCATCATCCATCCATCATCCATCCATCCATCCATCCATCCATCCATCATCCATCCATCCATCATCCATCCATCATCCATCCATCCATCCATCATCCATCATCCATCCATCATCCATCCATCCATCCATCATCCATCCATCATCCATCCATCCATCCATCCATACATCATCCATCCATCATCCATCATCCATCCATCCATCATCCATCCATCATCCATCCATCCATCCATCCATCCATCATCCATCATCCATCCATCCATCCATCCATCATCCATCCATCATCCATCCATCCATCCATCCATCATCCATCATCCATACATCATCCATCCATCATCCATCATCCATCCATCATCCATTATCCATCATCCATCCATCATCCATCAATCATCCATCATCCATACATCATCCATCATCCATCCATCATCCATCATCCATCCATCCATCATCCATACATCATCCATCCATCCATCATCCATACATCATCCATCATCCATCCATCATCCATCCATCATCCATACATCATCCATCATCCATCATCCATCCATCATCCATCCATCATCCATCATACATACATCATCCATCATCCATCCATCATCCATCATCCATCATCCATCCACCATCCATCCATCATCCATCATCCATCATCCATCCATCATCCATCATCCATACATCATCCATCCATCATCCATCCATCATCCATCCATCATCCATCATCCATCATCCATCCATCATCCATCCATCATCCATCATCCATCCATCATCCATCATCCATCCATCATCCATCCATCATCCATACATCATCCATCATCCATCATCCATCCATCATCCATCATCCATCATACATACATCATCCATCATCCATCATCCATCCATCATCCATCATCCATCCATCATCCATCCATCATCCATCCATCATCCATCCATCCATCATCCATCCATCCATCATCCATACATCATCCATACATCATCCATCATCCATCCATCATCCATCATACATACATCATCCATCCATCCATCATCCATACATCATCCATCATCCATCATCCATCATACATACATCATCCATTATCCATCATCCATCCATCATCCATCCATCATCCATCATCCATCCATCCATCATCCATACATCATCCATCCATCCATCAACCATCCATCATCCATCCATCATCCATCATCCATCATCCATCCATCATCCATCCATCATTCATCCATCATCCATCCATCCATCCATCATCCATCATCCATCCATCATCCATCCATCATCCATCCATCCATCCATCATCCATCATCCATCATCCATCCATCATCCATCATCCATCCATCATCCATACATCATCCATCCATCATCCATCATCCATCCATCATCCATCCATCATCCATCATACATACATCATCCATCATCCATCCATCATCCATCCATTATCCATCATCCATACATCATCCATCATCCATCCATCATCCATCATCCATCCATCATCCATCCATCATCCATCATACATACATCATCCATCCATCATCCATCCATTATCCATCATACATACATCATCCATCCATCATCCATCCATCATCCATCATCCATCATCATCCATCCATCACCCATCATCCATCCATCATCCATCATCCATCCATCATCCATCCATCCATCCATCCATCCATCCATCCATCCATCATCCATCATCATCCATCCATCCATCATCCATCATCCATCCATCATCCATCCATCATCCATCCATCATCCATTATCCATCATCCATCCATCATCCATCATCCATCCATCATCCATCCATCATCCATCCATCATCCATCATCCATACATCATCCATCATCCATCCATCCATCATCCATCCATCATCCATCATCCATCCATCATCCATACATCATCCATCCATCCATCATCCATCCATCCATCATCCATCCATCCATCCATCATCCATACATCATCCATCCATCATCCATCATCCATCCATCATCCATTATCCATCATCCATCCATCATCCATCAATCATCCATCATCCATCCATCATCCATACATCATCCATCCATCCATCATCCATACATCATCCATCCATCATCCATCCATCATCCATACATCATCCATACATCATCCATCATCCATCATCCATCCATCATCCATCCATCATCCATCATACATACATCATCCATCATCCATCCATCATCCATCATCCATCATCCATCCACCATCCATCCATCATCCATCATCCATCCATCATCCATCATCCATCCATCATCCATCCATCATCCATCCATCATCCATACATCATCCATCCATCATCCATCCATCATCCATCCATCATCCATCATCCATCATCCATCCATCATCCATCCATCATCCATCATCCATCCATCATCCATCATCCATCCATCATCCATCCATCATCCATCCATCATCCATACATCATCCATCATCCATCATCCATCCATCATCCATCATA